TGAGAGAAGATGAGAGAGGCGAGATATCCGGTATCAAGGAAGGATTGAAGCCATCTTAAATACAAACTCGAGCAACTCATATAAGTCAGAAATCCTTCCATCGTAGCTGGAGGCCGTGACTCACGCCGTCGAGTGAAGCAAGCCAGCTAGGCAGCTGCGGCGAGCCGGCCGTGAGACGAGGAGCCGCAGCCAATCGACCTGCATGGGGCTTGCATAGCAGTGCCAGGCAACCGTCTACTAATATTTTAGGACTTTGCTCGAGAGTTGAATACCGATTGGATGTCTAGTCCAGTTGCTGGGATGATGGGCGAAGGAAGAGTGCGTTAATGCAGGCTGGTGCTTCGCTTGTGTTAGCCGATCTGCTCTCACCCTCCTCCCATCGTTTACTATGGAGATGGCATGCGAATAGTAACCTGGACGGTGGTTTTGGGAATGACACGTTCACTGCTGCTAGGCACCCATGCTTTATTAGTCCTTGTCAGATTCACAAGTGACATGCAACAGGTTGATAGTGGGATGATGAGGTGTCCAGCAAGAGAGAAGTCGTGGATTGTCATTCTCAAGCAATTCCCTCCCTTCCATGCTGATGGCCCCTTTCGTCTTGCTGTCTGGTGTAAGTCCTATGAGAGGTATCTCGACCAACACAGAAACATAAAGGCTGCCCCAGATCGATCGCACCAACGGGCTCCAGGAACGGACTGTACGAGATCCCTCTTGTTTCTTCCCCCGAATGGCCGGCAATGGCAATGCGAATTAGGCTCCCACGTCCCCCCCCCCCCCCCCATGTCTTGTTGTCTGTGCGTGAGGCTCTACGCGGTATGCCTTATGAGTAGTAGATCGATTACTTAGTTGGATGGGCTTAGATACCCACACAGCCACACACAACCCCACAACTTTATGCCGGGACTGCGACTTGTTTGATGCAGCCAATCGATGTCCGATGCTCACTTGTTAACGATGCTAAACGATAAGAGCTCGGCATCAATGGCGTGTTTTCTTGGAGTCCTACATGCTTAGGCGTTTGCGGTGACGGATGAGCTGCCGCTGGTTGGTGAGGTTTGAATTGAAGCCCTGTTAAGTAAGTAGCAGGGGGTTCTTGGTCCGCGTCCCACGACGTCTTAAGGCTGACGTGCATGTTCGCGAAGACTTTCCGAGTTTAAACGGCTGCGTGAATAGGTAGAAATAGGGGGGGGGGGGGGGGGGGGGGGGGGGGGGGGGGAGGGGGGGGGGGGGGGGGGGGGGGGGGACGATAAGGAAGTCGGTTTCATCATTCAGTTATTCTTGCTTGTACAGGTATGACTTGGCCTGAGGGGGTTGCAGCCGGTGTTTGATGGCATTGAATGGATGAGGTTGCTTTGCTGGTGTACGTGTTCTTTGTACGTGACGCATGTAATTCTATGATAACTTCCTAGGTACCTATAAGATTACATGAATGTAGCTTATATGGAAAGGACTGCCTACATATAGCTTGTTACTCTCTGTTCCATCAAATTCGGGACGCGAAGTACATGTAGCCGCTCCCTGTATGTAGGAAGAGAAGGCGTCAGCTACCGAGCAATTCGACGTGACGATCAGCACTACAATTCACTGTTTTGGTTACAGGCTACAGAAGTCAGAAGACTTAACATGTTACGACATGGGAATGATCCGATATGGGAATTGCTAGTATGCCCGTAGGTGAACACGTCATGCGAGGCCATCAGCAGTCAAGACAACCATCACACAGCCGCCATTGTATCTGCCATTGCCCCAGCCAATACCCATGCCGTACTCCTTGTGCTTTGTCCTGCAGTTACATCTCTGCTCCTACAACGTCATAGTCACACGCAAGGATGCGGCTCCAAGTCGCACAGGGTATCATTAATCATTATTACTATGGTAGACAAGTCTCTAAGCTGAGGTATCTAACTCTACGCCAATGAAATCGTCTCAGTATTGATGAAACTGAAAAGAAAAAAATCAAGGAAAATCCAGCCGCTGAGCTTTCTATCTCACACCATAACATGGGTACTCAAGTTCCATCGTAACTCGTAAAACTTCTTTAATCATACACAGACGCCTTGGACCACTTGGATCCAGCCCTGATCCTCTTGCCGAACCGATAAAAGAAGAACGGGACGGGAATCAGCAGCGCCGCGAAGCCGCCGGTGATGCTCGAACCCGGCCCGACGCCAATGTTGTGGAACATCGGCCCAACAACCAGCGGAAAGGCGCCGGCAAAGCAAGACCGCAGGAACGTGTTGGCCGCCACGGCCGAGGCGGCGTACATCTGGAACGTGTCGACCAGGTAGTTGAGCGCGGCCTGGAAGATGGTGAAGAAGCCCGTGCCCAGCATGACGAGGCCGATGCAGGGCACGATCCAGTGGATGTCGTCGCGCGGGCCGGTCCAGCCCAGCAGGAACTGCCCGCCGCTGAAGAGGATGGAGCCGACCATCATCGGCGGCAGTCGCTTCTCGGGCACGGCTCTGTTGCCGGCGGCGTAGTACGCCTTGTTGTAGAGGAGCTGGTTGTACACGTTGGCGCCGCAGCCGAAGACGGCGCCGAGGAAGATGCACAGAAAGGGCAGCGTCGCGTTGAGCGGGTTCCAGCCGCGGATCTCGCGGAAGATGATGGGGATGCCGCCGAGCTGCATGTACAGGATGCCGTAGCAGAAGCTGGCGTAGAGGGCGACGAGGAAGCAGATGGGCGTGAGGAGCAGCTGCACGGGGCGGACGAGGAACTTCTTGGTCAGGTCCTTGACGTTGACGTCCCACTCCTCGAACTTGGCGTGCAGGGCCCAGTTGCCGCTCTCGTGGCGCAGGCGGCGGGCCTTGTAGACGAGCAGCTTCGGCGGGTAGCTCTCGTCGATGAAGAGGACGGCGATGACGAGGACAAAGGCCTGGAGGATGCCGGTGAGGTACTCGGTCCAGCGCCAGCCGAGGGAGGCCTGCTCTGCCACGGCGGCAGATACGATGGGGCCTGAAATGCGTTGTCAGTCGGGGGGATCAAGAACAACTTTGCGTTGAACAAGGTACTCACCTAGAGAAGGGCCTCCAACCACGGCCATGGCATATCCAGCCATGGCAATGCCTCTGTAGGCCGGCGAGTACAAGTCGCCCAAGACGCCTCCCGTATTCGTCACAGGCGCAGACGAGAAGAAGGCGCCAAAGAAGCGAGTCAGCATCAGCGTCTGCAGGTCCTTGGCCGTGGCGCTCCCGAAGCTGAAGCAGATGGCCACGAACATGGGCGTCATGACGGCGATGCGCCGGCCGTAGACCTCGCTCAGCGGCGCCCACAGCAAGGGCCCGACGCCGAAGCCGAAGAGGAACAGCGTCGTCCCCAGCGTCGCCACCTGCGTCCCGACGTGGAACTCGTGGGCGACCTGCTCCGTGCCCGCGGAATACGACGACGAGGCCCAGGTCGCCGTCATGGTGACGAAGCCGTAGAGGGCCGTGGTCAGCACCTTTTTGTGCGTCGGCCAGTTGAGCGGGTGGTAGGGGTCGTCGGGCCCGTCAAAGTCGACAATCTGGTCCTCCGTCGTCGGGATGTGCGCCAGCGGGTGCGTGAACTGGATGTTTGGCCGCGAGCGCAGCCGCGACAGGACCGTCTCCCGCCGGGACAGCGTCTGGGTCAGCGCCGTTGCCGCGCCCCTGGCGGAACCCGGCCGCGATCGTTCTCTGCTGGTCCGCGATGTGTGAGACCGGATCTCACGAAGCGCCGGCCGGTGGCCATCCAGGTCGTCCGCCTTTTCCTCCTCGTCGAGGCTGTGGCCGCTGTGGGCGCTCTCTACGCTGTCGGAGTCGGACAGGGCCGCTTCGTCACGGACTTCGGACCGGGACCGTCCACGGGCCTGCTCTTCGTCGTCTGGCATGTTGGATGTTTTGTTGAAGCACGCGAGGGTGCATTGAAAGCCCGTTTATATATCCACGAAGAATCAACGTCGAACTTGGCGCATCACCAATTCCGGATCGTGAACCAGGACAGAGCTTCCATTTATATAATAGCGAGTTCCTGACTAGCGGTAACTCTTTTCTGTCATGTCATGTCATGTAGTATGCAAGTCCCTGGCCTGGTCTTGTAGGAACGCAAAAAGCCGAAAGCCGGAATGGAAAAGTTTCCACACCTCAAGACCCCTTCGACCGCTAATTCTGACAAACAGACCCAAAAAGATGATCAAGGCAGCCAACAATGGGCGAGCAAAGGAAAGAAAAGAAAAATCTGATCCCAGTCGCCTTCGACTGCCGTCGTTATTCCCGGTCCACTTCCCGGCTCAATGATGCCGATGATTAGGGGCTTCCAGTTGACGTCAATGCCCGTCTTCGATTCCACACCAGGGGGAGAGGCGGCGAAAGATGTTAAAGGCGAGCCGAGGCCGGGACCGATGCTACGGTAGTAGTGCTCGTACTTGGATTTACATGGCAGCCATTGGTCACGAGAGGGGAGCTTGTCCGTTTGTTTGTTTGGGTAGAAGCCGATTTGGCCCGTCTTATTCGGCTACTTGCTTGATAATGGCTGACCTGGAGGCGGCTGTGTTGGCAGTTGGGCCACAGCATCCAGACAACAGAGCTACAGTAATGATAAGGTAAGGGGGCCATTGTGGACGGGCAATGATAAGGAACCCCTGAAAGTATCGAGTCTTGCCTTGTGATGCCACGGGCATGAATTTGGTGTTTAGGTCAAGGGGAAACATCTTGACCGGATGCCTTGCAGTGAACTAGCACGGAGCAGCGGCGAAGAAGAGGCCGAGCAATCGATCCAATCCATTCCTGATCAGCTAACGGTGGGACCAGCCCTGCAGGGATCTTGACGGCTTTCTTCTCTTAGTCTCAGACGGCCGATGGTTGGTTTACTACGGGTAAGATTCGAGACTTGGCCGAAGGCACGGCAATCGGCATGTCTCATGGATTGGAACAAACGGATTCGAGCCAATCCCGAGGCAGTACGGCAATCGCTCATCATCAGACAATCGCATCTGCATCACATTTGTAAACGGGCGCTCGATTGTTCGCTCGAGTGCATGTGAAGCTGTGATCAAGTTGAATCCATCTCTGCTTTATCTCAATCGAATACTACGTACATGTCAGGTATCAAGGGGTGTTTCTCCCTTACCCTATAGCGATTGACCATACGTACAAACCAGCCAAAAAAAGGCAAATCAAACAAACAAAAACCCTCTTTGCATCCTCAATGAAGCATCTCAAATGTCCAGTCGATTTATGTGGATAATATCGAAAAGACATTGTCATCCTTGACCGGTTCGACTCACCTAATACAGAGGGATGTCACTAGTGATAACATCCATCTACTGGGAAGAGAACCAACTGCATACATTAACAAGTCGCATCACAACCGCGAGAGCATCGGGCAATAAAGAAAAAAGGAAAAAGCAAAACAGGAAAGAGAGCAGTAAAAGTGAAATCACTTCAAGAGACCAATCCGGTGATCGACAGCCCTAAAGTCCAAAAAAAGCAAAAAATGAAAGCTGACGAGAGTGGGACTCGAACCCACGCGGATTGCTCCACCAGGAATTGCTGTTAAGGTAGCCTTAACCTGACGCCATAACCAACTCGGCCATCTCGCCGATTTCATGCTGTCGTGTGTGCTATTTGCATATATGGAGAGCGCGGCGTGTGAGTGTTGCTTCCAGCATCTGTTTGCCCTATCTAGGTGCGCAGTTTGAGCATCTACGCCTCGAGTACTATCTTGACAACGACACCATGAGCATTTCTCATGTGATATTTCGAGAAGACATCGCTGGACACTTGTTTTGGGATGGGTTGAGGATACAAGTATCTACGACCAGAGAGCAAGTCTGGACCTTTGGAATGGAAGCCATCGACATGTGAAGGCTTCTCATTTGCTCAGGAGGAATCATGATCAAGGTATCAAGATACGGCTGGAGGTCATATACTCATATGTAACTGCTTGGCCATGCTCACCACACGTCTAGCCTCTATTCCGAATCCTTAAACGCCCCCAGCTTAAACAGCCTCTTCGCATTATCCTTGCCAATCTTCTTCACATCCTCCTTGTTCTTCAACTCCACCCCATCATACCAATCACACGCATCCCCAAACGACTCAAACGGATAGTCTATCGAAAACAAGATGCGATCCGCACCGCCCAGCTCCGTAATGCAATACTCCAGCGTCGGCGTCGAAAAGTGCCCGCTCGTCGTGATCCAGACGTTCTGCGCAAAGTACTCGCGGATCGTCTTCTTGCAGTCGAGGCCCAGCGGCTTCTTGACGTCCTCGAACCAGTGGTTGATCCGCCACAGGTCAAAGGGGATGTGCTCGCCCAGGTGGCCGATGATGACCTGCAGCCTGGGGTGCCGGTCGAAGACGCCGTTGGTGACCATGCCGAGGAGGTGCAGGCTCACGCCCTGGGCGAAGCTGAGCGGCGGGCCGATGAGCCACTTGCGCTTGGCCCAGAGCTTGTCGTGGATGGTGCCGGTGGGGTTTCGCGGGTGCAGGTAGAAGGGCACGTCCAGCTCGGTGACGGTCGACCAGAAGACGTCCCATTCGGGGCCGTCGTAGAAGATCATGTCGTCGCCGTCGCCGCCGGCTCGCTGCGTGTCGTTGACGAGGGCGCCCTTGAAGCCGAGCTGGGTGACGCATCGCTTTAGTTCAGCAGCTGCCTCGGCAGGATCATGCATAGAAAGCGTTCTGCTCCAAGGTCAGCTTCAAAGCTCCAGGCCATCGGATTAAACCATCATTATGTCCGGTACTACTCACGCTAAGGCGCCGAATCGATCGGGATGGTCCCTGATGGCACCGGCAATGTAGTCGTTGATCTCGACAGCAAAGGCTTGCGCCTCTTTGCGGTCCCAGATGTCCTGCACGCCCGGTGCCGTGTAAGAGAGCAATGTGTAGCCCACGCCGTGCTTGTCCATGTAGGCAATGCGCGTGTTGGTGATGTCTGTCATTTCGTGTGCGTGCTTGTCGGGGTTGACGGCAAAGAGCGAAGCCCACCATCTTGTCTTTTCCTGCATGCGAGGGAGGGCAAATGCCTCCTCGAGAGCTACCTTGCCGAGCATCTTGGTTGGTGTTGACTGTGTATGTATATATGAGCAAGGCTGAATTCCAAGATGGGCACTGTGAAACAAGTAGATGGCAAAAGACAACATGACATGAATGCTAAACACAACACTGCTAGGGAAACCTGTTATAAGTAAGAACAGGCACACAGGCAGAGCTGCACCCCCTCCTCATCTGCTGTCCCTCTTCCGCACGATGGCGGCTGAAGCCCCAGCAACTCGATCTTCTGGCGACACTCCGGGTGGATGGCGTTCTCATCCAACAAGGGGGTCGTACCGCAGAGCAGCCCCCTCTATCGATCGCAGCTAGGAGCGGATTTGGGTTCCGATGATGGAGCTTCCCGCACTCCGCCACGCGAGCCAGGGGACTCATGGGAGGGAGACGGAGCGGGCTGCAGTGGGTATCGACGGCTGATGGGCCTTTGAGACCCTGACGAGAGAATGCGGGGGAGGTGAGGTGAGCCGGCTTGACCGGGTGTCTTTACCGCACAGTGTATTTGGAGATGATATTGCTGGCGGATACCGTCACCTTATCTTGGGCGGCGGGTCGGTCAATCAAGCAAACAAGACGCCGGCATCTCACCTCACAGGTGCTGGCAGATTGACCGCGTCATCGCTTGAGAGAACGGTAGACAAAGCTGAGGACAATCTGCAAGGGACAAATTCTGAACAAACAAGAAGCCGGCCACCCCAGTGTCTGGGGAAATTGTCCCCTTGCCTCACCATGCTCATCGCACAAGCGCCGACCACCCGAGCCTCCATGATGAGCACCCGACCTGCTGCCACTTACCAACCCACCAGAGCAGCCGCCTCGTCGTCACGTCAGAGCGGATAACCTCCGTCTGGCCACTGTTCCGATCAGTCCAAACAAGGCAAGATATCGTAAGGCACGCAAAGAAGAGCACAAGATGCCACGGCCCAAAGTCCACCCGAGCCAGCGCCAGCGCGCCGCCGAAGCATGCAACTTCTGCCGCGCCTCCAAGAAGCGATGCAGTGCCACCGTCCCCTGCACCGCCTGCCAGCGGCGCGGCATCGGCGACTCGTGCTATCTCACCCATCGGCCTCGAGGCTCCCGGGCGGTGGCGCCGCTCCCGCATCCGCCCCGGACGCGGGCCTCGGCCGCGGAACAGGTCCCGGCGTCGTCGCCGCCGAGCGGTGGAGACGGCATCCCGGATGGCCTTGGCAATGACGATGCATCGATAGAAGAATCTGCGTGGGGCCGAGCTGGCTTTGGACAGATGGGTGCTCCGGAGTGGTGTTCGGTTGATGGGCCTGATGCCGAGGGGAGCTACCGGCCGCTTACGCCGTCGGATTCCCGCGTGAGCGTCTCCGAGGGGGCTGCCAACCGGTCTGCGCATCCACCGACAGCGAGGCCGGGGTCTCCCGCTCCGGAACCAGAGTCTCATGCTCGTATGCTCCTCAATCTACGAGGAGAAAGAGGTACGTCGTGCTGTGTTAGATGGGGTTAAGATGTTCATGCGAATTTGAAGCTGACATGCCAACCTGTCAGTGTACATTGGCGAGGCTGCGTCTCTATCCTTTCTTCAGCTCATACGAGATACCGTAACGGCCCAGATCGGACCGTCGCAGTTCTCCCATAATGAGAAGCGCGACAGTATGCTGGAGACGGAGCCTTCTGCGGCTGGCTCGAGCGGCTTGGAGACAGCCAACTGTGACATTGACCTGGAGGGCAGTCTGCTGTACACACGGACATTCGAAGCTGCTGTGAGTTTACGCCATGAACATTCACATTCCTTGTTTCTCCACATCGAGAGATGATCGTTGCTAATCATAACCCTCAAGACTGGCGGCCTGTTGGACGTGTTTGGGCCAACAGAGATAGACGGTCTCCTCGTAAAAACCAAAACTGACGAAGCTCCATCCCTCAACCCGTGCCAACATGCCTCCGTCGACCTCGTCATCGCCATCGGCGCCCAATGCAAGTCTCCCATGGACGCGCAACAGGTCGGGCCAGCGTACTTTCGGCAAGCACAGCACCGTGCCTTTGCCGGCATGCTGGAGGATCCAAACGTCGACATGGTGCGCGCATTTCTCCTCATGGCCTTTTACATGCTTGGCCATTGCCGGAGAAACACGGCCTTCATGTACCTGGGCATCGCGGCGAGGGCTGCGGTCGCTCTGGGGATGCACAGCCCCCATTCGTACACGGACTTGGGGAACCCAGTGTGTCAACGGAGGTAAGGCTGAAGCGGGTCATCTCACGCCAGCCTCCTGGTCAAAGGCTAATCAGTCGGTAGGCTGCACATCTGGATGAGTCTCTGTGTTCTGGATATGCTTGTGAGCTCTATCCTGGGAAGACCGCCTGCTACAGCTGGTCTCAGGGCGGAGCTTGACGCTACAGTCATCTCTTCAAGTGGCCCGTCGGCTACGCGCCATGGTCCACGAACCGCTGGCCTGTTTGCATCCTACGAGATACTCACCATCATCAACGAAAGCGTCGACGCACTCTACGGGAGGAAGGTTTCGTCTACCACCATGGTGGAGCCATTCTTGAGCAAAATCGAAGACTGGAGCAAACGACTGCCCAGCTTTCTCCGCAATCCCCTCATGTCTTCAAAGGACTCGTCAACCCAGAAGGCTGCGACCGACAGCATACACATCGCCTGTCTCTACTACTTTGCCATCACTCTGGTCACTCGGCCCGTGCTGATATCAAGGCTCACTTCTCGCCCAGACATTGCTACACCTTCGTCTTCACCCCTGGCGTCTGCCTGCCTTGACGCGGCGGTATATCTCGTACAGACGTGCTCCGAGGCGCACAAATCCGGGCTACTGCTGGGAAACATGTGCATACTGAAGTAAGGCATCTCCTCCAGGCTACCTACCTTGGCTCATAACCAGACGGTGACTGACGAGATCGACATTAGGGCCTTGATATTCGCCGCTGGCCTCATCCTCGGCTTCGACATGTTTGCGAAAAAGGAGCTCGACTACGAAGTCGAGGTAGCCTTTCGCAGCGCCAAAGACGTCCTCGACTTCCTGGGCATCCAAAGCCCCCAAGCCAGCCATTACTCGGAAATCCTAGGCCTGCTGTCCAATGCCATCATGAAGCGGCGGATGGAGCTCTCGTCGCGGCCGCGAAGCAGATACGTCGGGAAGCTGCTCTCTTTCAACAGAGAAGGCGGCGACCCGGGCCAAGAGAATGGCGCTGAGAATGAGGAGGCTCTGGCGGTTGATGACCATACTACATGTAATCATGCTGCAGGGGTCTGGGGTGCAGATATGGCGGCCCAAGGGGCGGAGATGGATGGGGATGTGCTGCGAGGATGGGACGGTCTGGAGCTGTCGCAGTGGGATAGCTTTCCTTTTTTCAATCCGCGGGTATTCGGATTCTGACATGACTTGTTCTCTTTCGTATCAAACTCGAATTCTGTATCCCACAGTGCGTCGGGAAAGGCACTCTAGTCTCGTTGGTTTTGGAGGTAATAATGTGACAAGGCACCGAGGTGCATACACACTGCCTCTCGTGCCTACTCAGCATATCATAGCCCCAACAGTAACAGCTTTGCATCCCTGTTCCGAATACGCATCATCATGTATCAGAAAGTTTGCCGCTGCATATACATGTATAACACAAGAGATTAAAGTTGCGACCCAATCAGACGGATCAGACATGCCACCCCCCCCTTTCCAACGGCTTAGCACAAAACCATGGCAGCGGCTATGGCACCTCGCCCTCAACAAGGGGCACAGCCGCCGCCATCCGCGATAAGCCTCTCAGCTTTCGAACAAGGCACTGACGTGAATGGCTGGGATCACGGGGGGAATGCGAGAGATAACAAGGTTGAAAGGGTGAGAGCTGAGTCGATGATGTCCGAGTGTGTACACAAGAGAGTCCTTTTCCGATCCATGAGCTGGCCGATGATTCGGAGCAACGTGGAAGAAGGGGGGGGGGGGTTTGATAGATAAAACTTGGGGCTTTACCCAGCTCAGCGTCAACTGTTTTCTTGACTCGTAGAATAATGAACACACATCTGTTACACCGGTCAAGATAACACAACTCACAATCAGCAAAGACTCTCCAGCACACGCGCACACACACACACACACACACACACACACACATCTCACCAAATGGGCTCCAACACCCCCTCCTCCTCCTCCAGTAATAGCTGGCGCCGCCTCAGCATCGGCATCGTCGGCGGCGGCATCGGCGGCATGTCCGCCGCCATCGCCCTCCGCCGCGCCGGCCACGACGTGACCGTCTACGAGAAGCACGACTTCGCCGGCGAGGTGGGCGCGTCGGTGTCGTGCGCGGCCAACGGCACGCGCTGGCTGCACGAATGGGGCGTCGACGTGGCCAAGGGGGACCCCGTCGTCCTCCGGAAGCTCATCAACCGCGACTGGAGGACGGGCGAGCCGGTCAGCGTGTACGACCTGGGCGACTACGAGGAGCGGTGGGGGTTCGTGTACAACATGTTCCATCGGCAGTACATGCATGCCATGCTGAAGGATTGCGCGCTGGGCGAGGAGGGCAAGGGGTCGCCGGCGAGGCTGCGGGTCAACCATCAGGTATGTCATGTCTACATGTAGAAGCTGTTGAGGGCATACTCTGCCGGATAGTAGAGAGAGACACTGACTTTTTTCAAAAAAAGTGCCAAAAGATTGATATCAATGCCGGCACAATCACCTTCACCAACGGCGTCACGGCCCGGCACGACCTCATCGTCGGCGCAGACGGCATCGGCTCCGTCGTCCGCCGCGAGATGGGCATCTGCCCGGCCAAGCGGCCCTCCGAGCAGAGCTGCCTGCACGCAAACGTCACCACGGAGGAGGCCGTCCGGCTGGGCCTCGTCGACTACTCGCAGCACAGCGCGCTCGAGTACTGGGGCGGCCAGGAGGGCAAGTGGGACAAGATTGTGCTGTCGCCGTGCAATGGCGGCAAGCTGCTGTCGTACTACTGCTTCTTCCCGCGCTCCGTGGGAGACTACTCTGCGCATACCTGGGGCAACGACGACAGGCCGGTGGAGGAGCTGCTGGCGCCGTATCCGAGCCTGGACAAGCAGGTGTTGGCGCATCTGAAGATTGGAAAGGAGATTCGGCCGTGGCGGCTGTGGGTGCAGTGAGTTTTATCTTCTTCTGCCTACTCGTGATTGTGATGCTTGTCTGGAAACAAACTGCTTGCTGACCTTGTTGGCCGTAGCGATCCTTATCCTTATATTCACAAAGGCGTCGTCTGTCTGTTAGGTGACGCTGGACACCCGGTATGTCCCATTCTCTCTTCCAAGGTATCACACCCTGAGAGTATCACCAACTAACATGAGACTTGCCAGATGATGCCCCATCAAAGCCAAGGCGCCTGCATGGCCATCGAAGACGCCGCCGCCCTGGGCATCCTCTTCAGCGAAAAGTACTTTAGCGGAGACATTAGCGAAGCGCTCGCGGTGTATGACGCCGTCCGGCTGCCCCGAGCGACGAGGGTGCAGTCTGCCGCTGCAAAGGCGGCTTACAACATCAACGAGAGGATTGGTAAGTCTTTTTTTATTTGAGTTTGAGCAGTTGTTTCTCTTTTTCAGTTTGTTAGTCAGTGCTGACGGTGAGATTCTTTTGTTGGATAAGGTTTCTCGCAAAACAAGGATGTGCCGACGTATCAGGTTGAGGATGAGAAGAAGAAGCTGACTATTGAGGAGATGAATGCGTAAGTCGTTGTCTTTTGGGCTTTGATGTGAGTGATGATGGCTAATGATGGGATGGAATTAGATACGACATGTATAAGGATATCGAGCAGGCTCTGGCTGAGAGGCGTGGAGCTGCGTTTCGTGAACAGTATGTCCGGGGGCTGCCGGTTGGACTGGAGCTGCCCAGTGGGATCATTATCGGCCAAGAGGCATAGATTGGGAGGCCATGTGCTGTTCATCTCTCCAGAAATGTAGCAGGCTTTACGTGTACATATGGATGTGCAATTCATCAATAGACTTGCAAGAACCGTCCATCTGTGAAGGATGTTGTTGTTTTAGGTGACGCTTTGTAAGTGACCCTATAGTCATGAAGCCACGAGGAAATTGTAGTCCCATGAAAAATACTAGAAAAATGATCGCAATGTTGTCTAAAACCTTGTAATCTTCATCAGTGGAGGCCTTGATGTAGTTGGCACAATCCGAGATAACTCATAATCATGCTTTCGATTTCTCAGTTGCTATAAGCGATACGCGCCAGACAAACAAAAAGGCTACAATCTTCGCCATCATAACGAGAAAAAAACACAAGATATGCCATGGCCTCATATCCCCAACTAATTCTTCTTGGCCAGCTGGATGTTGTACTCCAAGTCAAACTGTGCCTGGGCGTCTCCCTCACGGGGCTTGAACTCGACCGTCAGCCCATCCTTTACAGCAAACACACTGTCGTCCTCCAGATACTTGGAGTCCTTGTCGAAGATCTGCGTTGTCAAGGAGCCGTATCCTTTGCATTCAGCCTGTAGTTTGACGCGTTAGCAAGGCAGTCGCCGGATAGAAAGTATGGGATGGTGTCTCCTACGATGAGATGGATGTGTGCGGGCCGGTACTCGTGGCGATCCATCAGCTTCAGCAGCTTCCCTGCCGGACCATCAAAGGGGATCTAAATCAGAAAAGTCAGCCATTGCTGCTTCTGTCATGGCAACGTGCGTCTTTCATGAACAGCTCACAGGATACGGCGTCGGGCGAAGACAGTAAAACGAATACCGCCCCTCCGCATCGGTGATGAACTTGCCACGCAAATTGCAATCGACCTGATCCGGATCCTGCTGCTCATACAGTCCTATCATACCAAATCATCATCAGTAGCTGTTCCAGAAAAAGCTAAAAAAAGGCAACCTCATCTAAGGATTTCTCACCATTCGTCGACGCCTGCCAAACGTCCACCGTAGCATTCGCCAGCGGCTTGCCCGTCACAGCGTCCGTCACCTGGCCATGCATAAAAGTCACCTGCCCGTCCTTTGGCGTGTTGAAGGTGATGGTGCCGCCGTTCTCTCGGATCGGGGCATCGGCACGCCAAAACGGCCCCAGGATGGCAGACGACGTGGGCGGCTTGTCGGCCTTGCTGGCCTCTCTGTATGTGATGTCGTCCACAAGCCTACATTATCACAACCCCCCCTTTGTGTGAGCAGCTCCGAACACCAGACAGAAAACGTACCAAAAGACCCCTTCCAAAGAGAGCGAGAGAGAGAGAGAGAGAGAGAGAGAGAGAGAGAGAGAGACAAAACCAACAACTTACGATTCCAGGCCAATGACATCGCACACCAGCTGTCCCTCGTTGCGCCTGTCGTTGCTCATCCGGCCCGCCCAGTTGATCATCTCGACGCCCGCCAGCCACTCGTCCGCGGTGAGGTTGACCTCGCGCGCAAAGTCGTGGACGTGCTGGATGAGAGCGGTCATGACTGTGCGCATCCGGGGCGAGGTGTTGGGGCCCATGGCTTGGATGACATGGTTGGTGAATTCCTGGCCGAGGCCTTCGCTGGTTGACTGAGAGCCCATTTCGAAGATGTTCAAAGGCTGTGTGTATAGCTGCCGACTGGTTTCAAGAGGAATTCTGTCGTTGTCAAGAGAGCTTGGTCTTGTTGTTTCACAGGCTATCGTGTTCAGAGTTATGCTTTAGAGTAGGGCCTTTCTTATAACTCAGAATTCTTGGTTACTCATAACGAATTCCCTCGACGACGATCCAATCAGTAAATCAGCAATTAGCAAGAAACGCATAAGCCAAAGCTGCCCGTTCGATGTCTCGCCTAATCGTCTCACAAACCGCCTCCCAGCCATGCCGCGTCCGATATCCGCCATCGCGGGGTTCCCCAGATCCGACGGTGGCTGCCGGAGCGGCAACGGCGGATAACGTCCCGGAACCCCTGATCCTGGACAATCGACACTTTCCCCGCAAACAATGCGACTACTAGTAGTAGTATGTATTACGAGTAATTCTCCGTGAAAAGCAGCTGACTGACAAAGAGAGTCAAAGTTCCACATGAACGTTCAGAGCCCTTTCACAGGCCGTGGATTAGTATGCAGCTTCAAAGGAGGGGGGGGCTTCCTCGTCGAGGATCCTGTGCTACCTTAGGTTGCGCCTTGTGCGGGCTGCGTGGAACCCTGAGAGCCATTGATGCTCTATAATGTCTCTGTCATCAGCTGCCGTCATCATCAGATAATAATTCAGTAAGTTGATAACAGTTTCAAACGCAACCAGAGATTGCACGCATCTTCTATATCTAAGATATGATACTCAATGCAAACAACTCGACATCTACCTACTCAATCCGATAGTCCTTCTCCTCGCCAACTTCCCACCTCGCCTCATCCGAGCCATTCGGCCGACTCGCCCGCCTAAAGCCCATCTCCAAGCCCTCAATCTCCGCCACCGGCTTGACCGCACGCACCTGCGCCTTGTACTTGTCCGCATACCACCGATCCAGATACTTGGCGTTCTCTACAAAGCCAGGATACACCCCCCGCATCCGCCGCAGCACCGTCCCCGAGATCTGGTCCACGCTGTTGTGGTACCGCAGCGCCAGGACCTCGGGCCCCATGGCGTCGCGGAGGCTCTGCTGGACGTGCTCCGGCAGCAAGCCGACTTTGAAGAGCAAGAGGTCGTAGTGCATGAGGCTGGCCTTGCCGTGCCACGACCCTCCGCGGGCGGCCCGGTGGTAGAGGCCGACCAGGGCGGTGATGGCGCCGATGCAGCCGGTCCCGTAGTCGGAGATGGGGAACGGGGGCACCATGGGCTCGTTGCGGCCCATGAACCTGCCTTGTTCCCAGGCGATGCCCGTCACGCAGTCTGCAATCTGCTGCCATCCGGCTCGATGCGCCCACTCGCCCTCGTAGCCGAAGCAGTTCTCGTTGACGTAGACGAACCCTTTGCCTCTCTTGACGGCCAATTCGGAGAGCTGCTTTGGTCCGTATCCCAGCTTCTCAATCGCCCCAGGGCGATAGCCGTCGACCACGACATCGGCCTCAATCAGGAGCCTTTCAAACGCCTCTCTCCCTTGCGGAGACTTGAGATCCAGGTCTGTCGCTCGCTTCCCCATGTTGCCGTCGACCTGGAAGAAGGGCACGTCGCTGAGTTTTGGACTCGTCACTTTGATGACTTCGGCGCCGTATTCGCCCAGGATCCTGGTGACTGTAGGTCCGGCAATGATTCGACAGAGTTCAAGAACCTTGATGCCCGATAGCAGTCGATTGTCTTGATGGTCTGCGAGGGGTATCCGCGGCGTCTCATGTTCCAGGCCCTCAACAGACCACGGCGGAAGCGCAATGTTTGCCTTGCCCTGTGGACCGTCGTCAGTTCACGCTGTCTTGAAGAGTTGCAGATTGCAAATCTCGACTTACGTGCGGAGTCTTGAGAAACTCGGCGTGAGTAAATGCCTTGACACCGGCTTGTCTATGCTGCGCGTTCAGCTTCTCGAGTTCATCCACGGTAAACCTCTTTACCGCGGATTCAATCGTCTGCACAATGTCTTCGTGAGTCTTCAAGTCAGGTCGAAAGGGCTCCAGCCCAATCATTCTCAGTGTCGTCGACGCTTCCAACGAGCCATGGATGTGATAATACTCGTTGGGGTCCTTGGTGGCATACAAGTTGGCAGCCATGCGGCGATACGGATCAGACTGCGCTTGAAGCAGATCCGTGTCTACCCATGGAAGAAAAGTCAGCAGACCCGGTCATTCACATTGGGTGCCCTTGGCTATAACACACACCTTTGAGCAGCCCCCTCACTTCCTTGTCCAGCTTTCCATATCCTCCAACCTTGGCCAAGTACGCCTGAAGCAGAAATGCCGTCGTCTTCTCAAGGTCAATCACGATTTTCCGATTCGACGAGACTTCGCCCTGCCGCGTATCGGCGAGGAGAGACGCAACCGATGCCTCAATTGCCTTGAGCGCAGCCGTTGTCTCCGTCTCTTTGAAAGGGATGGGGAAGTAGGGCAGGTCTCGCTCCGCGACAAATTGCACGTTGTCTGCTCGGCTGGCGACTCCAGCGGGTAGCGATATGGAGTCGAACTCTTTGCACAGATAGTGCAGGATATGACGGGCCTCTTTCTTGGAGGAGTAGGCGGGTATTGATTCGGAGGTCATGATGGATGGACGAGGACTAGCGAAGCCTGTGGTTGTGGCTATGATGTGATTCTCAGTAAAAGCGCTCCTTTCCTCGTCACGTTGTGAAGTCGTGAGCGGAATGTGTATTTCACAAGCTGCGTGCAAAGCGGTGTATAAGTCGCGCCTGGAGATGGGTCAAGTAGAGTACTCAATCCTGAATTTGATTTCGACGCTGAATAGTAGGTAGAAACTACCTCAAGTAAACCTCTCTGGTATAGATGGATCCAATCCGCTCAGAGTGTTGCCATCGAGGACCCTCTCGCCGGACCCGAGACCGGGATCCCGTATCCGATCCGACCTGCAAAGGCCGGACTCCGATAAACCCACAGCGGGGCCGCCAGCCCTTAACCGACAGCTCTGACGTCTCCCAGTCCCTCTTACATCATTGTGCTTCTCCCCTCATTCTGCTTGTAGCTTGATTCCGTGCTATCAGCTCTCTTTTTCTTTGAGACAAGTCGGATATCCGTTGGCGGATCGAAGCAAACCCCCGAAGCAACCCATTATACCGCATCTATCCGGCTTGCTTAAAACATCTCGTCTGTTCCAGGGGTAAGTCGTTGTCCAGCCATGAGCCAGACTAGAATCGAGGCGCTCACTAGTTTCTATTGTCAAGCACTATTCCAAGACCAGGCATCTACTATCTATCCGTTTGAGACAAAGCACCCAAGCCATGCCGTTCCTCAAGCTGCAGGACCGCGACCGGCAGCTGTACTACAATTTTGCGGCTCCCCAAAATGCAGCCTCAGACTCCACTAAGATAACCACCCTCGTCCTCATTCACGGCTTGGGTTCGTCCAGCTCCTTTTATGCTCCTGTTATCCCGAGGCTCGTCGAAGCGGGATACTCCTGTCTGGCACTCGACTCTCATGGTGCGTGCATCTGCCTCCCTGTTCTCTTCATTCGAAACGCTGTTGTTGATACTGACTTGGACAAACCAACAGGCTCCGGTTTGACCAAGTTAACTGGCGAGGGCGGCAGTATCGATACCATCATTGACGATGTAGGAGCCGCCATATCAGCTCTCAACATCCCGCCCAGTCGCGCCGTGATAGTTGGTCATTCCATGGGCGGCCTCGTAGCCCCCGAAGCCACGCTCCGCTACCACTTCGCCGGCACCGTCCTGCTCGGCAGCATCTTCCCTAATGAAGCCCTCACAACGAACCTCAAAGCGAGGATCGTCAAGGTCCAGCAAGGTAAGAACATCGACAGTGCTCAGTCATTCACCCAGTTCAGTGACTGATTGGCCCCCCTCTTCAGATGGAATGGATGCTCTGGTAGACGCGATTCCCAAAGTCGGCACAGCACCGACATCCACGCCCCTCCAGCGCGCATTCATCCGCGCTCTGCTCCTCGCCCAGACCCCAGAGGGCTATATTGCGAATTGCAAAGCTGCGTGCAATGCCTCTACTCCTGAATATGCGAGCATCAAGACGCCGCTCTTGTTCGTGGTGGGTGCTCAAGACGTCGTGTGCCCGCTTACGGTCTCGAAGAAGATATACGACGAGTGAGTGTTGCCCTTATTCAATGTTTCTCACACAGCTGCTGACCTTTTGCAAAGCTGGGGCTCTGCGGATAAGCATCTGAAGATACTTGACGGAACCGGTCACTGGTACTGCATTGAGGCGCCCGAAAAGGTTGGCGATGCCATTGTTGAGTTTACGGATGGTCTAAAAGTGGAATAATCCGCCACTCATGATCAAAAGGCTATTCATGTATTTAGACCTCGAAGGATCCAAGTAACGATTCAAATCTTTGATCCCATCTGGCGGCTGTGCAATGCTCTCAACTCCTTCCTCAATATCTTACCCGTGGGACTTCGGGGGATGGCATCGATGAAAATCACTCCTCCTCTCAGACGCTTATAGTCCGAAACTTTGCCCCGAACGTAGTCAACGAGCTCGGCTTCTGAGATCTTGCCCCTTGCTCCCGGTGCGAGGGCGACATAGGCAGTGGGGACTTCTGTGTCCTCTCGCTTTGTTCCAATGACGGCGGCGTCGGCAACGGACGGGTGAGCTGTGAGAAGGCCCTCGAGTTCGGCTGGCGCGACTTGGAGGCCCTTGTATTTGATCAATTCCTGTGATATGGTCAGTCAGATATTTCGAGACGACCTGTCAAAGGCTCAGGACGGACCTTTTTCCGGTCGACCATGTAAAACACGTCTCCCTCCTTTTTGAGGACATCGCCAGTTCGGAACCAGCCGTCCGTGGTGAAGGATGCTTTGTTGGCCTCTGGGTTGTTGTGGTATCCCTTGGTGACCATTGGGCCTTTAAGCAATGCCTCGCCTGGCTGTCCCTCCTCGACGTCATTGTCGTTCTCATCAACCAATCTATTCTCACAAGTTGTTCGTTAACATCTCCTTCATCAGGTTTCGGGTGTGATAGCGGTCGTACCTCAGGCTGACAGTAGGCAGCAACGGACTCAAGCTCCCCATCGTGTCAGTCCGATCAGGCGTCGTATAAGTCACAGCGCCCGTCGTCTCACTCAACCCCCACACCTGGTAAACGATCCCCTTGAGCTTCTGACTCGCTGATTCCTGCAGCTCGTAGCTCATCGGCGCCGCACCAGAAGTAGCATACTCGACGCTCCTGAACTGGTCCTTGACCGCAGGATGTTTGGCAATGGCCATGAATATGGGTGGCACAGAGAAGAAGAATGTCGGCTTGAGCTCTGCAAAATAGCGAACAAAGTCATCGAAATTGAAGCTTGGCATCCAATAGATGACGGCGCCCTCGTAGACGGAATTCACGAAATAGCTCTGTAGGCCGGCAATGTGCGCTGCGGGCAGGTGGCCGAGCGTGGATCGGGGAAAGGACTTGCCCATTCGTTCCCAGGCTTCTCGGCCCAGGGTGCTGGGGAGATAGCATTCGGACACCATGTTCTGGTGGGATATGATGACGCCTGTTCAGTGTGAGCAGAGCATCTTCACCCATCACCGCGTTTCCTACGGTAAGATGCGTTCGTACCCTTGGGAAGTCCTGTAGTGCCTGATGAATACACGATGCAGGCTTTGCTGTTCTCGAGCTCCTCAGGGTCAGTGATCCGCCTCCAGTCCAGAGACCCTCGAAAGTCGCATTCCGTCTCGCCATCAGCGCTCCGTAGCTGTATCTCTGGATAAGACTTCAACACCAGCACATTCCGGGCGGGCAGTCCCGCATCACGAGCAGCACTCAACGCGATGCCTTTCACGTCTTCACTGCATACAACGACCCTACCAGGACCATCTTTGATCTGTCTCGTCAGGTCCGACACCGTGGAGGAAGGCGACGCAGCGGAATAGATGCCGTCCGCAGCAACTACAGCGTACAGCACGCAGCCCAGCGCAGACTGTCCTGTAGCTACCGTGACAACTACGTCGCGTCCGGGCCCGTCCCTCCCAATGCCGTATCGATGGCGGAGGAAGTAGGCGAATTGACGAGTCAAGTCGCGGACGCGCGCCTTGGTGAGGGCGTGGGAGGGGTATTTGGCCTCGGCAAATACCGGCGCGTCTTCTTTTGCTTCGGATCCTTCATATTCTTTGCGGTGAAGGAGCGTGTCAATGTCAAGTATGTGTACCGATATGAGGTTCGTGGCGCTTGGAGGAGGTGGAGATGCCCTCACGCGAAGTAGATATTGAACCTACCGAATAGAAGAGTAAGGATATCCAGATTCGGAATGGTCATCTGTCTCGGGTTGGTGTATATCATGATGAATATGTCAGATAAGAGAAGCTGGTCGATCAATCTCAATGCCTTTATCCACCGAATTTGGTTCGAATACAATATGTGCGATGCGTGATACAGGTTGAAACACCACAGTTAATGGCTTGCTTGGGCGTGCATGACAGTTCAGGTAACCTCCATATACCGGCAGCGGTTCTCTTTTTCTCAACGCCAGCATCCCTCTTCGAAGACCGAGCCGAGGCCCACGCACTCGCTCAGCTGAAACATAGCAACAAATCTGTCCTAGACGGATATCCATGTAAGTGCTCTCCATCCGCATAGTATAATACTACACCAAAAGCCCAAAATGCGGAGAGAATGTCTGCCCACACCCCATGATCAGCATCCCCCGCCACTCACCAAGCTTCCGCGGACTTTATCGAACCAAATCGTGCAACTCGAGTACTGGTAGTATGCAAAAGAACGGGGGCTAAATGCACAGGCAAGGGGGTATATCTGGGGTAATTGTTGGTTGTGCCGTTGGAGCGGGGAAGGGGAAGGGGAAGGGGAGGCTTCAAAAGCCGGCCGAGGCCGTCTACGCATGTTCGCATCTTCCGCCTTCCTGTTAAAACGCATTGAGTCCATTTTCCAAGTGATACTTGATACTCAAGCCTCAGTCGCCACAGAGTTTGCGTTGCTCTGCTCTGTCAATGGCGAAGTTTTACTGCGCTGAGCAAACAGCAACATCATCACTTACACGACTCTTATAAGCCCATCTGAACGCCTCTTTATAGGCTAAGAGTGTGTACAAGTACACACCTATCATGCCTATATATACTGTGTCTTACGCCGAGATCACACCCCATCTACTTCTCAAAGGACCTGGTGTTATAGAGCGGTCCTGCCCAGTGCGCTGCTCATGGGTTGATTCTTTGACTGCTCCGTAGAGTCTTTGTTGATTCAATCCGCTGGCATCATCCTCGGACGGCTTCCAAACACGGCCCGACTCGGGGGACGCCCGGCTTTGTTGCAAGCCACCAGCCATGCGCCACTGCAAACAACCATCTTTCCGGAGTATGTGGACAGCGCACATGCAAGGCCCAAAGCTGTATATATTCACAGCTCCCCCCCGCATCCCTACGGTCGATTCACATCTCTGCTGGCATACAAAAATCTGTTCTTTTTACACATGTGGCCGATGACGCCCCAGTTGGGAGGGCTGGGGCTGAGGCCCGTATGGAAGGTCCTTGGGGTCTCCATCTATTGACGCTGGGGGAAACGCTGGGAAACGCCGAGGGGGTGAAGCGCGAGTTGCGTTTTTCCCTTTTCCGCATCACGGCCTATGATGATATGGTCCCTTCCCAAGACTGAGGCCGGGAGACGCCTCTGACGATGTGTCGCGTTGTTTGTTGCTCGTTCCTGCAACGCGAACGACTTGCCGCTTGTCCGTATATAAGACAGACTATCGTGCAAACCAACATCCGAACCTGCTACAATGGCTCCAAAAGCCATTCAATCTTCCGTAGTATAGTGGTCAGTATGCAAGCTTGTCACGCTTGAGACCCGGGTTCAATTCCCGGCGGGAGAGCGCCACCCTTTCAAAGGGTTCATATTTTTTTTCCCCCTTCTATTTAAGTATTTCCCTCGATCTGAACATTTCGTAGTTTTTGAATACAATCGCATGCTTCTTCTGTTCGAAAGAGGTCGCTGATAATCTTTGTATTCTATCCATCCAATGACCGTTATACCGATTGACCCATAAAGACAATTGAAGTTACCTTAAGCAAACAAACACCATAGCAAAAACACCACATGTAGGTACATGACCATCCATCAAGTCCCATCGCACCACCTCTGCCTCAACGCCCTCTCCCACTCGATAAAACTCTTCACCATGCCATCCCCCCACAGAATCTCCCCCGTATGCAGAAACTGGTTCAGCGGCGGCACCATGAACCACGCATGATCGCTCCGGCAAACCACGTCCCGCCTGCCATCGCACGTCCTGTTCCCCGGCTGCTGGATGACCCCGTGCAGACACCTCTCGCAGTACGCGTCCACGCACAGCTGGCACAGGTAAAAGTTGTCCGACAGGGAGATGTTGTCCAGGCACTGCGCGCACGCCTTGTTGGCGGCCTGGATGTCGGGCAGCTTCGGCTCGATCCGCGTCCGCACGGGGGAAGATAGAGGCGTCGTCGTGGCCGTGGCCGCCGCCGCCGCCGCTCGGTTCACCTTTCTCATCGACCGGGCCAGCGCCAGCGCGTTCTCCGCGTCGTCGGCGGCGATGAACGCCTGCAGCAGGTTGTCCGCTGCGTAGCGGTCGTTGCGCGGCTCGTCGTCGAGCAGGATGTCGAGGCTGTTGATGACCAGGCTGCCCAGCAGCTGCCGGGCCCTGAGCTCGTTCTTGAGCAGGCGGTGGAACAGGGCCAGGTAGATCGACGCAATGTTCACGTCCGAGCCGTACTTGTCGGCGGGGATGTCCAGGTTCTGGTGCCTGCTCTGCTTCTCCTGCACCTGCTCCAGCTTGTCCAGCCACTGTGCGGCCTCGGGCGACGTCAGCTCGACCTGCAGGATCTTTTGCTTGTACAGCGCCGATAGCTTCTGGAAGGACGTCGCGTGGCCGTGGCGCGTGGGGACGTTGCCCCTCGGCCGATACTCGATCAGAGAGATCTGCTCGAAGATGGCGATCGAGGCGTCGAGGTCGCGGTTGTACGCACATGTGTTTCCGTATGCTAGGCGGAGATACAGCACGCCCATCTGGTTGCGTATGGTGTGAGCCGTTTCAATGGCAACCTCGTACTGGTGGAGGATGAACGCCACCTGGCCGACCTTGACGGCCGCTCGGGGGATCCATTCCAGGACGAGAGGCTTGTCGCAGTTGTCCAGGAGAAGGTTGGTCAACGACGTCGTTTCCTTGTCTTTCTCGCTGGCCTTCTTCGCCATCTCCTGAAGCAGACCGACCAGCTCAGAGTGCAGATTCTCCGTCGCCAGCATCTCCAGATAGCTCAGCTCGGCCTCGAACCGCTCAGACGGGTTCAGACCCGCGGCCGGCGCGCTGGCGATTGCCTTGCGAAAGTACTCCAACGCGGCCTCTCTCTTCCCCGTCATGTAGGAACACCGCGCAATGAGCAGATGGTCCTTGTACAGCCGCCACCTGCAGCTCGTCAGCGCATATCCCTCCAGCGTCCCCTCTCGGATGCTCCGCTCTTCAATCTCGGCGCACTTGAGAGCCTGGGCCAGGGCCTCGCCGAACTGCCCATACTTGGACAGGCAGTAGGCGATGCGCCCAGCGGTCCCCACGCTGTTGTTGTTGTCCAGCTCGAGCGCTTTGTGATAGTGGATCAGGGCATCGCTGTGCAGGCCCAGCATCAGATACGTGCTCCCGAGTCGTCGATGCCAGTGCGCTGTCTGGGGGTAGCCCGCCCATTCGATGGCTTTCAGGACTCTCTCCCTGACGGGCGTCTCTGACCAGCGACTCTGCGCTTGGGACCAGAGCCGCTCATCGCTCATGAATGCCACGTTTTGCACAATCTTGAAGCAGAAGAGCGTCGGCACATACTTGTAGTAGTCTTCAGAGAGCCACTGCTTCGCGTAGAAGCGGCCGATTGCTTGGCAGATGCCGACGTCTTCCTTGGCCGACTTGGTCACAAAGTCTCTTGCCTCGGAGGTAAGACTGGCTAGGATCGCTGGGTCGTTGAGCCACTTCCGGAGGCCTTGGATGTTGGAGTCGGTAAACACCTCCAGCCCCTCGTTGTTCTTCTCGTACATGGCGCTCCAGTCGTAGATGATGTTCTCGACAGTCAGCATGCTGTAGATGTGCATGCCCAGCTCCCTCTTGTGCTCCGGAGGCACGCTCGCCGGGTCGAGGGCCGCCAAATGCTCTTGCCAGTACCACGCGGCATATTGCTTGATGGCTTCTCTTCCGTGGTCCAGCTCTCGGCTCTCAAACCAAGTCTTGTCGTTGAAGATGCGTAGACACGTCTTTAGAATGCTGATGCGAGCCGTCATCATGTCGAATCCCATCGCAACGCCCCCTTTCATCGCATGAACACCGTTGGCGTTTCCATCACGAAAGAACTGCCTCACTGACGTATGCGAAAAGGTCACGTATGTCGTGGACGGATTCGACCGGAACTCGACCTCGTTGGACATGTCAAAGAGCCCTGGGCTCCGCGCTGGGCTGAAGTGCCGTGGGGGACTCGCCATCTTCTTCTCAGCTGCAGGCGGACTCGTCGAATGACTCCAGACGCCTCTGCCAGCAGGGCTCACTCTTCGGCCGGGGCTGCTCGTATCAGACGAGGTGAGGCCACGAGCACGCGGGCTCTCGTTTCGAAAGCTTCTCTCCGGATACACCTCGCGCTGCGTCCGAGCAAAGTCCTTGAGCAGGTCATCCGTCGTCAATCCGTCCTCGCGCTCCAACTCAAAGAAGCATGCGTACTGGCCCCGTAACGACTCCTCCAGTCGCAGCGGAGCATCTCCAAACTTCATGACGAGCGCAGCCTCCAGCTGCTCCAGCGTGAGCGACTCCTCCGCACAAGACACCCACTGCAGCATCTCGTTGAGGTCACGGGCGTCTTCCTCCGAAATGGTGACGGAGAGGTTTGCGAGCGTCTCGTTGAGCATCCCGTTGATCTCCTTGGGAAACGATTTGAGGCTCTTCAGGATCGAGCTCGGGTGCCGCTTCTGGTTGATCTCGTTCAACATGAACTTTGCCAAGATGAAGAGGCCGTCGACCTGCTTCTTCATGGACTCAATGACCTCTTGCTTGAAGTCCTCCGGAGATCGACTGAGTATCCTCGAATGCCGCACACCCTCGGAAATAAAGGCGCTCACATCGTCCGCGATTCGATCCGGCGTCACGTAAACGGTTGTGAATACCTGGCCAACTGCATTCGGGTCCAGCGCAAAGGACACAATGTCCGCCAAGTACGTCCTCCCAGTCAGCGCAAACTGCACTTTTGTAGGTTCGGATTCGTCCTCAGGGGCGAGCAGAGACAGGAGCTGTTCGATGTCGCTCTGCTCTGCTTCGTCGATGCCGTCGAGGAAGACGTAGCTGGGCTCATCGCGGGCATCGTCCAAGAATGGCTGCACAAACAGCCTCCTGAACGCACTCGGCACCGTCTTGATGTCGTCGCCGCTATGGAGCTGTTTCGCAAGCTTTTCCGCATAAAAGGCGTCGGTTTCGCTGAGCTGATAGGCAACGTCCCGCAGAGCCTGCAGCACGGATCTCGTCTCGGGATCGTTGGCGGAGAAGAAGAAGTAACCCAGGTGAGGAAGATTCTCAAGGCCCCAGGTGATCAGCCGCGATGTCAGGAAAGACTTTCCAGTACCTTGGAATGGCGTCAATGAGGATTCCTATATCATGGTGTGCAATCGACGTCAAAGGGAGACTTACCAGGATTGCCGCACATCCACAGATGGCGAGTCTCCCCGCGAAGCCAAGATTTCAGCCCTTCATCTTCCAGCAACCAGTCTCCGGTGCCCTGAACTCTGTACTTGGTGAATGCGTTATACGAGTCGTCCGAATAGGGGGTAGGTTCCAGTATCTCCCGCAATTTGTCTCTGTAGGAGAGCGCCCCATTCTGCTGCTCTCCCAGTCTCATGTCCAATATGCTTTGGTGCATCTGCGTAACCAGATCTTCTACCTTGTCCGTCTTGAGATTGAGCTCAGCCACGCCGTCGTACGTCTCGGCGATGACTTGCCGCTCCTCGCCCAGCGTCAAAGCATTGAGCTTCTGAAGCGCCGGCTCAACGGGACTCTCGATGCCAACGAGCCTCTTAAAGTACGCCTTCAGCCTGCCGCTTCGCGCAACTTTGGTAGCAACGACGAGAACCTCGAAGAGCGTCGCCAGGATGGTGACCAGCTTCTCACGCAGCGCAGGACTAAGCTTGTGATTCAAGTACACGTCCAGCCTCGATGTGAAGTCCTATCCGCATGTTAGTCTCGGCAGAAAGCCATTGCAAGTGAGACTATGTATCCTCACTTTGAGTTGATCAAACAGCTCCAGTACCGAATCGTACATGGACGAAACATCATGCGCCGCATTGATCAGATACATCACCGCCGCAAAGATGCTCTGAGCCGGCGCAAAAGCCTCCGAGACCCCCTCGGCAACAATGTCCCCTATCAGCTCTATCGGCCGCAGCGTGACGGCCACGGCATCGAAGATGCTCTTGCGCTTTTCTCGAAAGTGGCTGAACTGGTCGTTTTGCGCAGTCAGCTGCTGCATCAGGTCGGAAATGGACTTTATCGGCGGCGTCAGGAAGTCGTCCAGCGTCAGGCCCCTGTCGGATGAGGAGTCCTTGAAGAGCTTTGCGGCATCCGCCAGGACGGCGGCAAACTGCGTCTCCATCATCCCCCGCGGCTTTTGGGCGGGCTGCTTCTTCTCCGGGTCGCCCATCTTTCGGTATGCTTCTCCAGGAACCGTCCTTCGAATCGACAGGATCGGGTGTTTTGAAGGTTTAAGCTTCCATCTCATGACCCAGCCTGGCGAATCCTTTGGGTCATCTCTGGGGCTCACTCATGTGGGGGGGAAATCGACGTGCCATCGCATAGGTTTTAAAGAGCCTCAAGTGACAACACTAGACGCGCTTCTCCGCCTCATCTGCGCGCGCTAGATGCCGAAAGGCAGTCCCCAGGCTGCATGCTGATCCGCAGTCCTCGTTTCTGTGTCGTCAATCGTCAGACGGCCTGGACGGGGGGGTCCTCGTCAGTTGAGCCAACAACTACTACCTCAACGTGGCGGGGGGTGTTGTAGATTCTATTCAGAGGTTTCAGAGTCGGGCTCTCAGGTTGCATCGCACATAGTGGCAACTTGGTAGTATGTAGAAGAGACTGAGGACGAGGATCATGATGATGAGTTCAAGAGAAAGAGACAGATTCCTTTTCTTGAAGACAGGGCTCGCCTGATGCGCCCACCGGGCTGTGCTCGGCAGATCCTGGCCACTAATGCCACGCTGCAGCCTGGCATCAGAGTTGGAGTCACCGCTGTGGAACTGTAGCTCTCTTGCTGATGACTACTCGCAAATGGCACATGATATGCTCGGTGGCGGCCACTTGTCCCTGGGCAGCTGAATAGGTATGATGCTCTCTACCTATCTGTCTACATACAAGTGGCTGCCAACAGACGTCGACTGAGGCTGTGAGGGCGGTGAGCAAGGCGATGCGGACGGTGAACGCAACAAGCCGTTGGTTTCGTAGTTGTTGCTTCGACACAGCTTCCTAATAATAAGACCCGGAGCGGCCCGTTGGTGCTATTTCTGCTAAAGTAGCGCAGCGGATGCCCGTCTTTTCCAACTGGGTTCGTGTTGGTTTAGTTACATACCGTTTACAACTTTCCTGATGAAACGCTACATTACGGTACGCACCGCAAGCGAAGTCGTCTCCGAGCCTGACTTTGTATAACGACAATATCGCTACTTTGTCTCTTCATTATACTCAATTTTGAACGGTTCTATTTTCATACAGGTTGTAGAGTGCAGCCACAGAAGTCTACATCTTGCCGTCCCATATTGGTTCAGGTAACTTCAATTTGGCGGGGTGGTTCAGGCTCGCAGTCTGTACTAACCACCTCACAGCCCCTGGGACAGTCCAGCTGAATGGGAGAACAAATGCAGGGAAATATGGAGTACCAGGCAGATGACACAGAAAGAATTACATCCATTTCACATCTAACCCTATAGTATGGGTTTCCCGGGCATTTGCTCTCCTCGCCATTGCGCTGAAGATATACCAGAGTGGATACAACACCGGGTGTTTACGCCTTTGGGCATTAAGTGTTCCATGCCATGTCAATCCAGCTCACGAGGGAAAATGTGCTGCAAGTGGCTTGTATAACTGTTCATGTATACATAGATCAGTCACTTCACTCAAGATAATCTGACATCCTCAGCCAACGCTATGGAGTGCCACGCTTCTCAACGGTTTCGGCGCCCTGGACCAACAGATTTCCCCTTTTTGGGGCTGCTAAACATAGAAGGATTCCGTGCCACAACCTTCAAGGTAGTCCAGAGAGCCACCGAGTAAAACAATAGGCTTTGCATATACATACCCTGACGCCGGTTGGTCCTGATTGTAGTACCACATGGAAACTCATCCTACTGTTACGTGGATTGGGCATCATTGTTGGTAATACAGCTGAGCTCCGGCTCCATCACCTTACATGCATTACATGCGTTCAAGTCAAATCCCCTCCTCAGCATTCCGAAGCTTTTAGTACTGAACGTGACACGACATCATTGCGCCATCTGAGGTTGCCCAAGTCCCGTCCCGTCGTGGATAGCCAACTCGGGGATGCGAGATACATATACGAACCTATATCCGCTTTGCAGTAGACCTCCTTTTCTATTTCCGCCTACAAATACTCGAACAGCAAGCTGAACAACTCAAAATTAGATCCAATTCGCAAGGCCCCGAGACATTCAAACCTTCATTCCCAAGCACCGCCACTCCATCCCCCCCGGTCTCTCCCATCACCCTCCCAACAATGCTATCCAGCTCACCCACCAAGTACGCCGTCGCCCTCTTCTCAGGCTTCCAAGCCCTCGACGTCTTCGGCCCCCTCGACGCCCTTAACATCCTCTCCGCCTCAACCCCCCTCGAGCTACACCTGCTCTCCACAACACTGGCCCCCGTGTCGACAACCCCCGTAAAGGACCCCATCGCCGGCGCAATCGGCCAGTGCGTCGTCCCAACGCATACATACCAGGACGCCCCAAAGGACATTGAAGTCCTCCTCGTGCCAGGAGGCCAAGGAACCCGCAATCCTGAACTCACACAGCCCGTCGTGGACTTTATCGCATCGACGTTTCCAAAGGTTCGGTATCTCCTTACGGTCTGTACGGGGAGTGCTCTTGCGGCGAGAGCGGGTGTTCTGGATGGCAGGAATGCGACGTCGAATAAGCTCGCTTTTGACTGGGTGAGGAAACCTATCTACCAAGTGCTTTTCAAAGTATGCTATTGAAACTAATGATAATACATTCTTTGTTAGATTACGTCGAATGGCCCGAATGTAAAGTGGATTCGTCATGCGCGATGGGTGCAGGACGGCAATATCTGGACCTCGTCTGGCGTGTCGGCTGGCATTGATATGATCTATGCTTTCATTGCTGATCAATATGGCCAAGAGGTTGCTGATAGCGTTGCAACTTCATCTGAGTACTCTAGGAATACCGACTCTACGAATGATCCCTTCAGCGGATTGGCATAAAGGGATAAGCAGTAGGTGAGGAGGCGTATACAATATCTTGCATTCAAACTCGAAAAATTGCACAAGTATGTAACTCAGGACTATGTTTATATCACAAACTGCATAGCCGTCACACCTCATTCTACATATAGCACTTCCCAACCAATGCCACCACGCATCCCCTTCCACAATCCTCAAAGCAATTCTACCCCTGCGTATACCGACAGCTCACCGGCTTCGCATTCTCCAACGTCCTCGCCGTGAAGCCCAAACATCCCTGATTCCCCCCAGGCGTCTGCAATCCCAACCCCAGCCAAATCCTCCACGACCCATCAATGCTATTCGGACACGCAATCAAGCCGACGTCCTTGAACCACAGGTTCTGACTCGCATCGACCTTCCAGCCCTTGAGCTCTCCATAGCGCGGAAGAGGAGCATCGCCAGTAATGTAGCCTACTATTCCCTGTCCTATACGCCACACACACACACACACACACAAGTCAGCCCATGAGTTCCCAAAACTTCAACACCCGACACAAACAGACAAACAAGTCCAAAGTATATAGAGGAAGGGAAAAAGAGGAAAACGTACCCATGCCAGATCGATCCACAAACACCTTCTGCTTCACCCCCTCGCACGAATACAGCACCAGCTCCTCGTTCTCAACAGAAAACGTCGCATACTCGCTCGACTTGCCGCCCTTGCACGTCGCATTCTGCTGCGGCAGGCCGAGGAACAGACCGCTTCTGGCGGCGCTGACCTGCGAGAAGTGGATGGGACTGGCGGACCGGAGGGCCATGATGTCGAAGGCCTTGGGCTTGGGCGGCGACGGAGCGGCGGTGGCGGATGAGAGGAGGAGGGAGAAGAGGGAGAGGAGCTGGAACTTCATGATGGTTGGTGGCGGAGATGAAATCTCAATGCCCTGAAACGAGTGCAAAGTAAAAGGTAAAAATGTGACTGTTAGAGAGGCTGTAGAATTGCGAAAGAAAGATGATATCCAACCCCCTTCTTATACACATCTTCCTCTTTGTACCGCCTCCGACTCCCCAGCACCTCGGCCCGACCAAGACATTTCAGCCGCCCATCCGTCAGACAATCAATGCTCAGGCCAGACATACGCAATAAACAATAAACCGAGACTTCAGCTTCAGGAGACAAAAAGTCTTGGCGGTACCCAAAATAAACGTAAACATTAAGCATAGGTGACCCCAGTTCACCGGTGATCACCACCCGAGAAGGCCGACTTACGAACATAACCGAAAGAAACCTCGTGTTCGTCGGTCTGCCGGGGCCAATACGAGGAATCGATTCGATCGTCGTGGAACAGTGGCTGCAGGTGGCTCCAGTCTAGACTCGCAATGTGCTCATGCTTTCAGCTCATGACAGCAACGGGAAACGAAGCAAGGGGGATGACTGCTTCTATTCATGCCGCTTCAAGACTTTCACAGGCTCACATACCTAGGATGAAATGTCGTAAATAGGTATGTTCAAAAGACACAGGGTTCAAAGAATAGCAATGTAATCTATAGTCCTCCGTAATAAAGGCGGTCAATCTATCTATAAGGTATTGGTATGGTATCTCCGCATAATCGCAGTCCGCTCGCTAACATATCCTAGCTATCATTTCCATCGCATAAAGTCAGGGGGGCATCATAAAAAGTGCACTCGTAAAGGTAAATGACGTGTCCGGGTCTCATGCATCGTGTGCTGTCACATCCTCTGCGTCTTCCTGCACTTGTCGATCCGAGAGCTTGGGATTTCGCAGCGCTAATGCAAAACAAATCATGGGCAAACAGATAAACATGCCCGTGATGCAAAGAGACCGCTGAACGCTTTCATAACTGTGAATAATGGCGCCTCGAATCTCGGTGCCCACTGGGTATTGCGAAACAATGTGAAATGGATTCTCGTAAATGGCTCGTGCCAGCGTCGTGTTGGGCTGGAAAGCAAGGCTCGCCTCCAGCGTCGGGTATAGAGTCTGGGTCCAAATTGCCCCAGACAAGCAGGTGCCGAGTGCGCTGCCGACATTGTAAAAAGAGAGGTAGAGGCCCGTCAAGATGGCGACGTGATCTCGAGAGGCTGATGCCTGGATCGAAGCTTGCGTGGGATAAGCAAACAAGCCGCTGGAGAGGCCGAGAAGGATCTGGCCGCCAATGAGCCCGGCCCTGGATGTCGCAGTCGCTCCTCCGGGGAATCGAATGAGGACGCCCAGAGCGACCATGAACAGAATGGTGCCAATGACGATGATGTGCTTGAGTCGTCGAAACTTGTAGATGAGGAGGCCCACGGCAACGCCGCTCACAACGCCGAAAAAGGAAAAGAAGGACAGGATCCGGGTCGCGCTCTCGATGGGGAAGTCGAACGCAACAATGAGGACGGTATACAGATAGTTTCCCTGCACGTACCAGGCAAAGTTGAGCAAGCTCCGCACGGCCAGGGCCGCCCAGACGCCACGATCCTTCAAGAGATGGAAGGGGACCAGGGGGTTTCTGGCGCCGTTCTTCTCCCACAGGATAAAGACGGGAACGCAAGTCAGCCCGACGACCAGCGGGATGACCACCTGCGGGTTCCTCCAATGAGATACGGTTCCGCCCGCAATCGTCAGAGGCGTGAGGACAAGACTAAACGCCGTGACCAGAGTGACGAGCCCGATGCCATCCACCTGATCGAAGAAGCGCACGCTCCATTTCCGAAGGTCGTCGTAAGCCTGTCCGAGCTCGCTCTTATTCCTGGGCCGGAGCGCTGTGCGACGGTCGATGGAGTAGAGGGTAACGAGCAGCGGCAGCGAGGCGACAGGGTAGATGATGCACCACATGCCGATTCCCCAGCGCCACGTGGTGATGCGCAGCACGGCAGACGTGATGCTGCCGCTAATCCATGTGTTGATGACAAAGGGCAGGGCAGGGATGTAGCTGAAGAAGACACGGGCGCGCATGGACGAGAAGTCAGCGACGAGGATCTCCAGCAGCAGCACGATACAGGTGTAGCCGATCTGGTAGAGGATGGTGCCTGCGCAGAAGGAGTAGACGGAGCCCGACGTCGACTCAAGGGCCATGCCGACGACGTAGAACAGCGTGGACGCCGCCACGACCTGGAAGCGCCCGAAGACGTCGGCGATCTTGGCCGCCGTGGGCTGGACGGCAACGGCGACGACGCTCCTCAGCAGGTTGATGGTGGCCAGGTATGAGTGCACCGAGAAGCTCGAGGTGGCGTAGGGCATGTACGTGGACCGGACCTGGCTCTCGAGCCCGTATGCATAGCCTGTCAAGAAGATGCCCGTGAATATCCAGAAGCGCTCCATGGGTGAGAGTCGGGCAGAGGCGGCCTCCATTCGCGCCACGCCCGCCGCCCGCGTGCCGGATCCCGCCGGCGCTGATTCCACATCTTGGTCGTCCAGACAGTCATGATGGCGGTTGTGCTTGAGAAGAGTAGTGAGGTTTTCGTGAGGCTCGGGAATGGATCGTAGGTCCGAGCCCAGAAGCGGCGCTTGTTCGCCTGAGGCCTCCATCAGCGAAATTAATAAGCCTCGGCCGGCGAGGAATCGGAGGGGAGCGCTGGCCGAGAATGAACAGGAATGCCAGAGCAGCCAGTGATCATTTGACCGTGATCCCTTGTCTCATGTCAAACAAAATGAACAATAGGCTTAAGAAACAGAAAATGAGAAGAAACGGCGGAACGCATTGGGGTTGAGGGCTTTATGAGGGAGGCGAGCTTTCGAACAAGGCTCGGATCAGATAAGATCGAGTCGGGTCAGTCAGGCTGATGACAGGCAGCCACGGCCCACCAGGTCCGCTCAAAGATGCCGCGCTTCCCAGCAATAATAATAGAAATATGGAGATTTGGCGGATATTGGATGCGGCCCAACAAGCTCCCGCCGGCTGGCATGATCATCGTCACATGGCCGGGTTGGGGCGGCTAGGACTATAGTGGGTGGTGGCCGGAGGATGAGACGGCAGAGCGCCACGGCTGAGAGACACGCAGGAGTCAGAGGAAGATGCCAGGATTCGTCCTGTCAGTGACTGGGTAGGCAATAAATGCCTGGGCTTACATGCGCTTTACGTGAGCTGTCTCTTTGGCCGCGGATCTCTGTCTCAGCTAGCAATAAAGGAGAAGGGCGAGAGCGAACAGCCGAGGAGGAGGAAACAAAATCAAAAGGTGTGCGCAATCCTATGGAGCACACATGCATCCCTGACGAATCCGCAAGGGGATGCACAAGCAGGGATCATAACTTCTGCATCGTCACAGCTGCTGCATTTGCCCTTGCTTCGTACACTTCAGCATGCGTTTCTTCAGGTTGCATCGGGTGCCCCGTCTGCCTGCATCTCCCGCGGAGATTTCAGCCCGATTGGACATCCAATGCATGGCTGAAATCAGGACATTTTGCGTCATTTTGGGTACAGCGCTGGCATCGGTTCGCGTTCGCGACTCTCATACAGAGCGTGCTCGTACTTGCTCCTTGGCGCATTGCGTTCGAAGCTCCGAGACACGGCACAGCTTCCTGGTAAGCTTCACATCTGCTTGTGCAAGACACTTGTGGGAGGGGCAACCTCCCACTCCGACCATGATTTGACTCATTCAGCACTCTGTCCAATGGTTGTCCTTTGATAGTGTCATGCACTGTGGCTGCGGTTGGACGCGGGCTGTTAAACAGCCAGGCACCGGTGGTGGTGCTTCAACGGGACGATCTCCCAGGATGCAGCTCCCCCCTGTTTATGCCACTCAAGAGCGTGATATACTGTCTGGTATCAGTCAGCAGATTCCCAAGGATTGTAGACCAGGTAGCAGGCTCATGATTTGATCGAGCAAGGCCACGCCATGCCTTATGGCTCGTTGACTGGGGATCCAGTTACCGAACAACGTCTTGTCCAAAATGTCCAGGTACCCTACGTAGGATTGAAGCGGGATGTGACTGGGCACTTCCAGAATAAGACCCTTCTTCAGGTGCATCTGGTTAATATCAGCCGCAACCTCCTGGTCAAAGAAGCCGTCTTCCCTGCGCCGGAATGGCTGTATGCGATGGTTTGAAGCGTAGATCATGTGCATGGCTTGGTGAGGCTTCTCTCGAACTGTGACTGAGATATTCTTCTGACTCGAGGCAAGATGATGATCGCATTGACTTTATAGCAGTCCAAGTGCAAGGCGGGACCCTGAAAAGATGCCCGATAAGATAAGATAGCGGTCGACTGCCCCTCCCCCGCTACCTTTGCGCCTTTGCGCCTTGATCGGCCCCACCGATAGCAGAGATTTTGGTGAGCATCTCAAGACTTTTTTTTCCGACTCTTTTTTCCTCTGGCGCAAACTCGAGACTCACCAGCAACTCCGAATTCGCACCCGAGCAGAACATCCAAGATGGCGGCAAACGTTGAGGCTGAGGCGCCTCACAACACCTTTGACGTATGTCCAATTGCCCCCCAAAGAAGGAGCGGAGGGAGAAGCCATTCGCAAGGTTCCTTGGAGCCTCTGACAGTGTCGAGCGCTGTCTGCCACCCCACTGTCACCACCGAGCAACCGCCCCGAAGCTGTCACGATCTCGCACGAATTGCTCTCCACGACGACCGATATAAAGCGATATAAGAATTCCACAGAAGGCAATCCACGAAGACAAGTTGAAGACAAAGCACAGCTCGGACAGCGGGGAGCAGACTGGCCCATGCGCCAAGTGGTTCCGATGGCATCGACACAGTCAGAGACGACGAGGAGCACTAGAAGACGGCATTGCTCTTCCGAAAAGAGATCGTGATGGCTAACACTTCGTGACATAGACTATCCTTCTGTTGGATTTTGGTTTGTCAAGCCCGCTCCCTTGACCACTTTCCCAGTGCTCTGCCAAACCTATTCTCTCTCAACAGCCGGCGAACCTCAGTCCACTCCCGCCGAATTCCCAATGCACATGAATAACCACATTGCCAACAATTCTAAATATCTACTCGTAATGGCTGAATGCTTATTCGTCTTCTTCACAGGCTCTCAAACCTCCCACCTGATCCTCCGTCGGTTGAGAAATGAGGCCCGCGTGTACTGCGAAATGCTCCCATGCACCACCAAGCTGGCGGAGCTTACCTTTAAGCCCAAGGGAATCATTCTCTCCGGAGGCCCGGCATCCGTCTATGACAAGGACGCACCTCGTAAATCATCCCTTTCTAGACTCATGGGAATCATAATGCTGATGTATCCAAGACGTTGATCCCGCCATCTTTGACCTTGGTGTCCCGATCTTGGGCATTTGGTATGAATCCTGTCGCTGCCTATGAGTCATACCGGTACTAATTCCATGTGCGTAGCTATGGTTGCCAGGTATTGCTTTCACTTCTATGCCCCTTAATCTCTGGATCCCGTAGAGCCACGATATCAGAACCTTGTCCCGTCAGGATGCCGCGCAATCGTCACGAATCGGGCAAACTGTTACAGAAACACCAACATGAGAGGTCAGAAGAAGAGCTGACCAACGCTGCGTAGGAGCTTGCCTGGAGAATCGATTCCGCAAATGTCGCTGGTGGAAAGATCCGAGGTTTGTGAACTCGAAAAAGATTGACGACGAATGGACCCTTGATTTTCTAACAGTCTGATCTCGTAGAGTATGGCCATGCCGATGTCACCATCCACAACGGAGCCAACTCGCACACCAACCGTCTCTTCGCCGGTGTGGGAGAGACGATGCATGGTGAGACTATTGCATCAACGTTACAATTTGAAACACGAATCTAATCTTATTGTAGCTTACATGAGCCACTTTGACAAGCTCGTCAAGCTGCCCGAGGGATTCGAGGTTATTGCCAGCACCAAGAACTCTGAGTACGCTGGTATCGCCCACCAGACAAAGCCCATCTATGGTACGCTTCATTTCTGCATCTCGCTGTTCGGAACTCTAAACTGACTCTGATATCATGCAGGCGTCCAATTCCACCCTGAGCTGGAACACGTAAGTCCCGTTTTGTCTCGGTCATCTCGGCCTCTGCTGACTCGGTCGTCATAGACACCCCGCGGTATTGAGATCCTGCGCAACTTTGCCATCGAGATCTGTGGAGCCCAGCCCAACTGGGAGATGAAGGACTTCATCAAGAAGGAGATTATCCGCATCCGCCACCTTGTTGGTGATACCGCACAGGTCATCGGCGCCGTCTCGGGTGGCGTGGACTCGACCGTCGCGGCCAAGCTCATGCAGGAGGCAATTGGTATGTTCTCGCCGCTATCATCCTGATGCAACGCTCAGCCAGTCGACAAGTCGCTGCCGACAAGGCTTGGATTCAGCATGTTCAAGAGCTAACTCAGTACAGGTGATCGCTTCCACGCAATCCTCATTAACAACGGTGAGAGCGCACTGCCCGATTCTCGGTGATGGCTTGCGGAACTCTAACAGGCTTCCAGGAGTGATGCGTCTCAACGAGTGCGAACAGGTCAAGGAGACCCTTGACCACCATCTCGGCATCAACTTGACTGTCGTCGACGGAGCTGAGCTGTTCCTTGGCCGCCTCAAGGGCGTGAACGAGCCGGAGAAGAAGCGCAAGATTATCGGAGCAACCTGTATGTTTGCCGCCTCGCTTCCACTACTTTTCGGGCGTCTCTAACCTGAGTGCAGTCATCGATCTCTTCCAGCAGGAAGCTCTTCGGATCGAAAAGGAGGCCGAGAATACCCCCAACGCAGGCCCGGTTGAATGGTTCCTGCAGGGCACTGTACGTATCAATCCCCCTTCTGTCTGGAATGCTGCTAACATTCGGAATAGCTCTATCCTGATGTGTATGTTTGATCCACTGGATATTACCACGACTGTGTTAAAGCTGACCGTGTTTTAGCATCGAGAGTGTCTCTTACAAAGGTAACGCGATCTCGAACTATTTTCGTGGTGTTCGCGGCGGGCTAACGTTTGTGTAGGACCGAGTGCCACTATCAAGACCCATCACAACGTTGGAGGCCTTCCTGAGACGCTCAAGGTACCAATTCCGAAGTAGTTGAGCCATGTTTGCGACTTGGCTTTGACCATGTCTACGAGATTCACTAATACTTGATAGTTGAAACTGATTGAGCCCCTCCGAGAACTGGTAGGTTAATGCGTCCATAGTCAGGAGATACTACATTGCTAACTCTAGGCCAGTTCAAGGATGAAGTCAGAGAGTTTGGTCGCGAATTGGGCATTCACAGAGACCTTGTGATGCGTCACCCTTTCCCCGGGTATGTGCCTCGGCCTTCCATAAAAGCAATCCTCGCTAACGGTCTGAATCAACAGCCCCGGTCTTGCGATCCGAATCCTGGGTGAGGTTGATGCCGAGAGAGTCGCTATTGCTCGTGCCGCGGACCACATCTTTATCTCTGAAATCAGAGCGGCCGGCGTGTACGACGAGGTAATGGAATCGGTAATTCCTATATACGGGCATTTCTAACCATGCCACAGATGAGCCAAGCCTACGTTGCCATCAGCAAAGACCGAGGTATGTGTTTAACTTTGGCTCTCCTGCATATATCAATGATGTAACTTGATTGCTGACAATGTCACAGCTGTCGGTGTCCAGGGC